TCCTACATAGATCCCCCTCCAGGGGGTTGACAGTGGTAGCTGGGCACCATCTAGTTCTTTTGGTCTCATAGTCATATAGGCTGAGGATCGCATGGTATATCAGTCACTTGGACTAATTGTTTCCATGCATCTTTTGTTTTCTTCATTCTAATGTGGAAGAAAAAGGTCTTCTAAGCCGAAATAATTCCAGCAAGTGATTTATCTTCCCATTCTGCAGGAAAGGCCTAGAGAGGATGACCAGTTGTGTTTTAGGACTGGTGTTCTTCATTAACTTGAGACACACAGGAGAAGGAGTTGAGTGGTAATGAATGATTAGACCATAGCACTGTGGTGCCATTATGTGTATTAAACTACTATAAATTGCCAAATTGGAGAAAGTTACTATTCATATAAAGGTATGGAACTCCATCCAATGCCGAATATCTTAGCCCAGTCCTATAGGCTACTCTGACTTGCATGGAGGCCTACTGTGAGGCGCTCCCTTTCCTTTTGGCTTCCAGTTAACTTTGGCCAATGAGGAGTGGTAGAAGATGGGAGGAGTGAGAAGGTGGGATGTTTACCCTCCAGGGTTTCTCCCTGTGTGGCACTGCTGATAGGCTGCATCTTTCAACCAAAGCAATCCTCTCCACACACAGTTCTCTTCTTCTGGCTTCTGGTAGTCATTCCCTGTCCCTCGTGCATTAATCAGTGCCGTTAATTCCAATTCATAATGCCCCATGTGTTTCAGAGTAGAGCTACACTCCATAAAGTTTTCAGTGGCTGTGGTCTTTCAGAAGCAGATTGCCAGGACTTTCTCCCTATGTGCTCCTGGGTAGATGTGAACCACCAAACTTCAGTTAAAGACAAACTCTTCACCATCTGCACCCACCCAGGGGCTCCCTGTTGATTTCCTTACACTCTGCTCACACTTCCTTTATTAAACTCCTCTCAAATTACTGTTTGGTTGTGTCATCTGTTTCCTGCCTGGACTTTGACTGCAAAACACCTGCCAAGGCCAAATTCCTCCTTCTTTCTGAACATTTGGATCATTTATCCATTTTCCAATTTTATTTGCACAAATAAGTTATGTTTTTCAACCGAAAACAGTAGCTTGGAATAAGGTCATGGTCTGATTCATTTTTCAAACTAACCTCTGATGCAGGAGGATCCTCCGCATCATAGAAGAAGATTTTCATGCCATTGGGGTGACATCCAACCCAAACGTCCCCTGTCACCGGGTCCACTGATAAGTTATCCACCAGTGTGTTAAAGGTCAGCCACTTCCAGGTTTAAAAACAAGAAAAGAAAAAAAGACGGTAAGTGAAGAGAAATTGGACACCATGTTGCAGGTTCCAGGGACACCATAGTTCTGCCCTATTGCAATCTAGTTCAAGGAAATCTTCTGTCCTTCTACCCATGCTAGTATTTTGTCAGTTTGCAGGAGAGATGGGTAGGCGGAAGATATAGAAAGTCACAAGAGGCTATAAAGTTAGATTAAATCATTTGAACATGTCAGCCCTATTATTGTGCATGAACCAAAAACGGGTGGAATAGGAGTGTTAAGTATAGCATGGAACAATTCTCCTAAAATGGCATCTCTCTGTGTCTGCCGTCGAGTAGGATCTGACTCATAGTGACCACTCCTTGGGTTTCCGAGGCAGTATCACTATGGAAGTAGATTGCCCAACCCTCCTTCCAAGGAGTGGCTGGTGGGTTTGAACCGCCAGCCTCCTGGTTAGCAGTCAAGTGCCTTAGGTACTATTCCACCAGAGCTCCCTAAAATGGCACACGCAGATGATGTTTTATAAGTATTCAGAAAACCACAGGATATGTCGATTCATTTCTGATGGGAATATTGATGAAATGTAGGCTTTTTTTAATGGCTAATCATAGCTGAGCAGCCAGAAGAGGAAGGATCACCCAGGGTCTAATTTTTGCCTTGGAGTGGAAGAAAACTTTGTTCTTTAGTTTCCTGATAGTATTCAACATCCTGCTCTTCTGCTGTTCATTTTCTAAATATAAGTTGCAAGTGTGTGAAGACTGCACAAACTGCTGTTGAGGCTTTGACCAGAATCATAAATAAGACCAGCAATTCTTAATTCCAGCATTCATCAACTTGGCTGCCTCTACTAGGGAGAAATTCCATCTATTTGTTTACCTCTAACTGACTCTCAGTTGGAAAAACATCTATCCTGTGCCTCAAACAGAACCTAGTGCCTAGAGACCCCATAATAACTGGTTGTGACTCATTGCAAAGCCCAGGCCTTATGCAAGCAGCTGCAGTGAGCCACCACAGCCCTGTGCTTCCCACTCAAAATGAGAGCTATCCCCATATGTCCATCCACTGAAGAGACTGGTGGGCTTCTGGCATCTTGGAGTCTCTTTCTTACCTGCATCAAGAATCACCATCCTTTTTATCCTGGAAGTGGGAAAAGTTGGCCTAAGGTGATAGGAGAGATTAAGCAGGCATCCCTGTTCCAAATCACATGCAGGCCTTCCTCCCCTCCCCCCCCATCACAGAATCAGAAGCTCCACTCTGTTACATTAACATCTTTAAGTGAGAAAACCATCTGACATTTGTCCTAAGGTTCTACTGTTATCTTTGGAAAGGGTAATAGCCTCTATGGGTGAATTCCATAGCAGATGAAAACTTGCTGAGATGGGTAGAAGGACCCAGAAGCCTGGGGCCCCCTTCATTCAGTTATTCAGCTCCTACCCTGTACTGGAAGTCCCCAGATGCTGCAAACCATTGAGTGTTTGACTACTAGCTGACTAGCTGAAAGGTTGGCACTATGACCCCACACAGAGGCACTATGGAAGATGGGCCTGGTGATCTGCTTTGGAAAGGTCACCCAGCCTTGGAAACTTTCTGGAGCAGTACTACCCTGCACACATGGGGTCACCATGAGTCAGAATGGACTTGATGGCAGCTAACAACAACAACCCCATCCAACAAGGAGCTCAGCACCAGGTAGTACAAAGCCACATATGGCTCCTACCATCCAATAGCTGACAGTCAGCAGGGAGCCCACTCTGGACCCAGCAATGCAAAACTCTTGCCTTGCAAATAAGTGATCCCTTACAATACCAATGCATCTAGTGCACATGTGTATCACAGTTGACAGATCCAAATGGAAAGTTCTACATTCTTCACTCAAGAAAAATTCTAACAAATTGTTCTCCTTTGGAAAAAAAACTATCTTCTTGATATCTCATGGGATAACTTGGTCATATGGCATAGCATAGTTCATAATGTTTTAAAAACTTGCAAGTAGCCATCTAAGATAAAACTATTGGTCTCTACTCATTTGGAACAAAAGAGAATGAAGGGAACAAAGACTCAAAGGAAAAAAAAAAAAAACTAGTCCACAGGTCTAAAAGCCCACATGAATCATGGCTTCCTCTAGCCCGAGACTAGATGGTGCCTGGCTACCACTACCGACTGTTTTGACCAGGGACACAGTAGAAGGCCCTAGATCGAGAGGGGAAAAAATGTAGAGCAAAACTGGAATTCCTAAAAAAGGAGAGACTTACTGGACTGATAGAGACTAGAGGAAGCCCCAAGACCTATTGCCCTAAGATACCCTTTAACTTGGAACTAAAGCCACTCCCAGTGGTCACTTTTCATCTAAATAATATATTGGATCATAAAATAAACACTGTCACCTGTGAATACTGTGCTTCCTTAAATAATCAACTATATGAAACCAAATGGTCAACATTTACCCTAAAACAAAGATGAGAATCTAAGGAGGGGCAAAGAAGCTAGATTAATGGAAACAGAACAAAAAGAATGAAAATAATGAGAAGGTTGACACAGTTCATGTGATAGTGCTTCTTCTGTGGGCATCTAGGGCAAGAGAGCAACACTGTGTTGTTTTGGGGGAATGGAGCTGCTTTAGAAAACAGCACTCTCCTGGTAGTGTAGTGGTTAAAGAGCTCTGCTGCTAATCTAGAGGTCAGTAGTTTGAACCTGCCAGTCACTCCATGCTACATCGAAAGATGTAGCAGTCTGTTTCCACAAAGTTAACAGCTTTGGAAACCCTATGGGGCATTTCTACTTTGTCCTATAGTGTTGTTATGGGTTGAAATGGAACAGATGGCATTGAGTTTCTTTATTTTTAAGTTCTTAGTCTCCTTTTCCTCACTTTCCTGTTTTTATCCCTTTTAACCCAAATCTTAGAACAGACTAGAATTGGTGGAGGTAGAAGGTGAACCCTTGGTCCAGTCGCATCTTATTAATTCATTTAACACCTATTTGCTGAGTGCCTACTAGGTGTTGCAAACTTGTGGAACTTCTACACTTGTGGAGAGTCAGATAACAAAGAAGACAGATAAATAAAATATATAGTATGTTAGTAATAAATGCTAAAGAGAAAGAGTGATAGAGGACATAGCATATATGTGTGGTGGTGATGGTGGATGAAGTTGCAAGTTTCGATAAGGTGTCCAGGGAAGACCTCACTAAAGTGACATTCTAGAAAATCTGGAAGGAGATGGAGGAGAGAGTGACGGAAATCTGGGGGAAGATCCTCCGAGCAGATGAAATAAATACCACATGCATGGTCCTGAAGTGGAATCACACATGGTCTGTCTGTTCCAGGGACAACCAGTGCAGGAAAGGAGAAGTAGGGAAGTAAGGAACAATAAGGCAGAGAGGTGAGCGGTGGCCATTGTGAGCATCTGGGCATTGTAAATATTGTGGAAAGCATTCTAGTATCCATACAAGTTGAGGGTGTTTCTAGGCTGTTACAGCAAATGGAGGAAGGAAGAAAGAAAAGACCAAGTGAAAGAAGGAGAAAAAAGAAAAGGAAACGGAGCGAGAGAGGGAGGAAGAAGAAAGGCAGGAAGAAAGAGAGAGGACGGGAGGAAGAAAGAAAGGAAGATGGAGGGAGGGAGGAGGAAAAGAAACGTAACACCAAGCCCCAAACTCCAGAGTGAAAGGAATCAAAGCTTCACAGTGAGAAGTGTAGTGTGCTGCTTCCCACTCTGCAGTTGAGTTAAAGTGAACAACAAACTTATAACAACGCTGATGACTCTTAATAAAGAAATGAAAAATCAGCTCTCACCCATTCCAATTAGACAATTCTTTTTTTTCTCACTTTTAATTTCGCAAATCAATTAGAATCTAATTATCACTCTGCAAACTTATAGTGTTAATACATCTTACCTTCAATGGAGTTAAAGTCCAATTAGCGTGCTTCTCATACACATGAATCTTATGAGCCAGCAATTCAGATATATAGACATACCTTCAAAGAAGAAAGCACTACATCAAAGCACTTGAAGTAATGCAATTCAAAAGGAGAAGGTGGAGTTGTAATAACTCTTCCTAGGGAAAAACTTTGCTTAAGAACTGGAAATGGAATCTATCTCAAAACACACCAATTTCTGAAAGAACTCAATGAATTTGCAGCACACAAAGGGGGTTATTTCTGAAAAATTATTTCTAAAAGTAGGAACCTAGTTGTCCCTGATCAGAAGGGAAAAAATTTAGCTCTAACACCTGCTCTCAATTTGTGTCTGGGAGCAAAATACATTATATTGACTGTCTTTATTTATCAATCTAGTGGCAAGCCCGAGGCTCTTTATCAAGAAGGCTGGGGAGTTCTCACTAGACAAACTGCAGGAAAGCACTCTGACAAGCCCCTGGGTTTCGGAGGGGAGATGTGAGAGAAGACAAGATGCTTGTCCTGGATCTGAGTGAAGTCTCCCTGTCCTGAGTCTGTCCTGGCCCTCTGACTTTCTGTTTTGCAGAGTGCAATACCACACCTGTCATAAACATACATAGTCATTCTAAGCACACAGTGTATCCCAGAACATAAAGAGAAATAAATGCTTGCTTATCTGCTATTTTTGAAGAACAGGAGATGATACAAATAATTGAAAGCTATCCATGTTGGTTTTATCAAGTATATGCGACTAAGCCTCTGAATTCCTCAATAATACAAGGTAAGGAAGATATAGATGAATGGATACATAGATTTTATGTATGTATATATGTATGTAAGAAGCTCTGGTGGTGCAAGGCCTAAAACATTTGACTGCTAACAAGAAGGTTGGTGGTTCAAACCCACCAGCTGCTACGCTCCACAGAAAGAATATGAGGCCATGTACTTCGATAAAGATTTATCACCTCGAAAACCCACTGGGGTTCACTATGAGTCGAAATTGACTCGATTGCAGTAAGTTTGGTTTGGTTTTTTTATATACGTATGTTTGTATCACTAAAGTATGGTCCATAGACCACTGCGCATCTGTGAATTGTTTATTTATTGTAGGACAACTATGAGATAATGATGTAAATCAGCTACCACACGGCTTAGTTGACCTGCCTTTTTTTTTCTTCACTCTAAGACTTTCCTGATGAAGGAAGCAATGCCTTGATTTACATTTTGGTATAAGCTCTGCCTCCTGTCACAACCAGCATTACTGAATGTATTTCTATGTTTTATTTATCACATTAGGTACTCAAAACTCTTCCCTCAAAGCAATTTAGTATTTAATAATACTAAAAACATCTATAACTGTTTCCCCTCTAGACACCTTTTTCCAATAAGAAAATAAAGACAGTGTGCCTTTCCACAATAGAAAATTATGATTTGGCAAGTTTTACCCCCTGAAAACATAGGTAAAATACTGAACACATATTTTACATTTTGTCTAATTTCATATTAATAGAACATCCTGGTAAATCCATCACATTCATTAGAAAAGGAATATATTATGAAGTTATTTAATGAGAATGTGGGAAAATGACTTTTTTATTCAAGAATTCACATACTTGCCATCAGGTGAAATGTTGATTCCATTAGCAAAATCAAATCTGTCTGCCACAACACGAACGTCATTTGGACTGTAGTAAACAACATATGACCATGCTAAACCCAAATACATCTCCCAGGATCGTAAGTAGGAGTCAGCAAAATAGTGATCATTTGTGGCATAGAACTGCTCCGGTCCCATGGCAACAAGATCATTCAAACTGCAATTAAAATACATACACACAATGTCTAGGTGAAGCTATTGTACATTACAGGGTTATGAATTGGCTTTTATGAATATCTATTCCTGAAATCAAGATATGGGGTGGAGCCTGCACACTAGCTGTTGTGGCACAGAATTAATAAGAGATCAGTTCCACTCAAACAATCTTCAAAGATAACAATTACTCTAAGAAATCCTAAGAGGTTTGTTCTTGTTACCTAGTACTGCTCTGACAAGAATATACCACAAATGGGATAGCTTTAACAAACAGGAGTTTATTCTTACAATTTGGAGGCTGTTGTTGTTATGTGCTGTTAAACCAGACCCAACTCATAGCGACCCTCCTTGGATTTCCAAGGTGGTATGTCTGTGGAAGTAGATTGCCCAACCTTCCTTCCTGGGAGTGGCTAGTGGGTTTGAACCCCCAGCCTTCTGGGTAGCAGTCAAGTGCCTTAGGCACTACACTACCAGAGCTCCCTAGGGCCAACTTTATCTGTGCTCATCTAGAACGTACTCCTGTCAGTCCAAGATATCATAAAACAGAAAACAGTAACAAAGCACACGCACTGGGCACCACCCTTGCATTTTAGTAAAGCCCCTACTGTCAGCTGTGTGGCCTCCGGAAAATGGTTTCATGTGTCTGTGCCTTAGTTTCCTTTTCTGTAAAAGGAGGATGATGGGCCGGCCTATCTTCCAGCCTTAAAGGGTCACTTCCCGCTGGAAAGTTTCATGATTCTGAACTGAATAAAATGTCTATGAACACGAATGCTCAGAGATAGGATGCTATGGCTTATTTTCTGATTTTGATTCTCTCTCTGTTACAGAGAATATAAGATATATGAGTCTATTTTTCTGCTTTAATAGGTACAATACTGAACACATAAGTGAGTCATTCCTTGCTGATTGAGGTGATGGAAGTTCCCGGGGCCATTATCTGGGAGAGAATTCTCTTTGCTGTATTGCAGAGAGTGTAACAGCCAAAACAGCAGCTCTGACGCAGCTCTGGGCTATAGGGCAAGTTATATAAGCTCATGGAGCCTCCGTTGGCTCATCTGTAAAGGGAGGTTAAATGATTTTCCCAAGGTCACCCACTCATTAGTAGAAGACGAAGGGTCATAATCTAAATTTGTAGAGTTGCAGTGGGAATGGCAATGAGACGATGCCTGTTGTGTGTTTTACAGGGAACCTGACACCGACTCAGTCCTCAATGAATGGCAGCCACTATTACTACATGAAAAAAAGGTCTAGGAAATTAGTAGTCTGCACAGGTGCCAGAGTAAACTAGCAAGCTGGATTTCCTCTTGCTTTTTAATAGTAAATTTCTGAAACTAGTATGCTTTGCTAGCATTTGCCTGATTTTTCATTAAAAAAGAAAAAGAGGATTGTGAATTAATTAAGAGTAATAGCTCTGCGCAGACAGGAAGGCATAATTAAGAAGGGCATGGGAGGGGGACACAGGGAGAGGAGGAGAGTGGTTAGGGTTGGGGATGGTAATCGGGAAGTAAAACCAAATGTACACGAACTATTGAATGTAAAACAAATTCTGCTCTATAAATTTGCACCCAGAGCACAATTTAATAAAAAAGAGAATAGCTTTGAAATTTGATGGACTACCATTTGAATCTCAAGGCTATTTGTTATTTTTGCTGGAGCCACAGCACGTCATTCAACTCTGAATCACTTCTCTGAGTCTTAGTGTCCGCTCTGTACCTTTCAAGGTTACAGTAAGAATAAAATGGCATCATGAATGGAAAGACCTTGGAACCATGCCTCTAGTAAATGATCCGTAATGAGCATTGTTTTGTTATTAATAACACACTTAAATTGTAATAGACTTAGTAATACATATATTAAAGCTGTAAGAAATACAGCTAATCCTTGAGTAAGGAGTTCTGGTGGCACAGTGGTTAAGGCATTAGGTTGCTAATCAAAAGGTTGATGGCTTATGCCCACCAGCTGCTCCACCAGAGAAGACAAGTCAGTCTGCTTCTATAAAGATTCACAGCCTTGGAAACCCTATGGTGCAGTTCTGCTCTGTTTATAAGTCAGAATCAACCTAATGGCACTGGGTTTGTTTTTTGGGTTTAATCCTTAGGTTGAAAGAATGGAATTCTAGTTAATTGGTGCACTACTGTGGTTATTTTCAGTCTGGTTCTATGCTGCCAAAGACTAATATTTTTTCACAACTCACCCAGAAAATAAATAAATAGACACGTACATTAACCTCAAGAAACTGGACAAACCAGAGTTTTACAGGAGTAAACAGTGAAACAAATAAAACATGTTTTCACTATATCATAGAGGTTCAGAGTACCAGTTCCAGGCTACCAGGATTAAAATTCCAGCTCTATCACTTACTAATTGTGTCATCTGGGACAAATTAATAAGTACTCTAAATCTTGATTTTTAAAAAAATTCAAATGAGTGTAATAATAAAACCTTATATATAAAGGTACCTATAAAAAGTTACTAAGATAACCTGTTTAAGTTGGTTAGTGTAGCACCTAACTTGGACTTAAAGCTCATTAAGTTACTATTATTATTACCCCAGCTTCTCTGTTCTACATAGATTTTCCTGATTTAGTGCTTGGTGTTATGCACTAAGGGATCGTGACATCATTCTCTCTTCAAAATGTATTTATCGAATGAATGGATGAATAAACTCTCCCACCAAAAGCTGCTCTCGGAAATGCGCTCATCCTAGACTAAGACCCAGACTGTAGTTCTTGTTCAATCACTAATTAGTTGATTGACTTTCAACCAGTAACCCAATCTCTCTCATCTTAGTTTCCTCAATTTCAAAACCACCAGATAAGAGGGAGTGGAAGGGTCATTGGAAAGTCTGAGTACATGCTATATTTCAGGTGCTTTGCTAGGTACTAGCATGTAAATAAAAAAATGTTTATCAGAAATCTAGACTTATGGAGTTGGTCTAAAGCTATATATAAATAATACATACAGAGTTTGGGACTCTAGACAAAATCCTGATTGGGGTAAATATTGTTTTGAAAGATGACTATCTTCATCAGATTGTTATCCTAAATTTATCACTAGCCCCATAAGCCAAATTCTCATAGGCAAAGGGCACACAAAAATTGAGTGTGTGTGTGTGTGTATGTGTTGACCAGGATCAGGGGTCCTTGTGTGTTTTTTTCCTCCATATATTACACTGTTAAAGAGCCCAGAATCAAGCTGGGTGTTACTGCAGATCTGTTATTCCGCAGACTGTGCAACTGACCAAGAGCGGAGGCAGTCCAGTGAGGTCTCAGATGCACCAAGTTTCCTCTTATGTTTGTGTTTCTACTTCACAGAAATATCCAAGACTGTATTTTTCAAAAAATAATAAATAAATAAGCAAAACTCAAGATGTGGAATTTGGGTTGAAAATATTAAGTCTGGTTTATGAGAAGGGCAGATTATTTTTTTCTTGGTAAAAGGTTAAATGAAGACCCCTGAAATGAAGGAAAAAGAGGGTCTCTAAGGGGCTTGAGTCCTCAAAACTTTCTGCAGAAGAACATTTGAAGGAGTTTGTCATCATTAGATATAAGAGTTGAACAGCTATTACCATCATGGCCAAAAGGAAAAGCTAAAAGTGGATTATTCACCCAAGGGAGTTAAAGAAAAATAGGAATATGATACGTCTCAGGACAGTACTTAGGCAGAAGTTCGTGTTTGATGGTTTTCAGATGCAAAAGTGATTTTTCTTCTTTTTGAAATTTAAACAATTCCACTGTGGACTTAAAATCTGGATGGTTCACCACCAGCAGGTACACAGTATTATCTGAGAGAAAATTAAAAACAAAAATTGAAACATTAACTGAGCTCTCAGCTGTCAGCCCTGTCTCCAAAAAGCAATTTCAACCCACCTCCAACTAGTACTTAGGATGTCAGGCAGATGGAATATTTTCATCTCTTAGTAGAGAGAAGCATTTGTGACTGCTCCAAAGAAAAGTGGCTAAAGGAAAAACCAGTGACAGTTTCTGAAAACCCAAAGCTCCACAGGGGAAAAATCCTCAACTTAAAAATGATCAGCCCTGACATTAAAACTCCAAAAAAGCTTGTTAAGCTTTTTCTATTTCAGCCTAGTCTCAGTGAGATACAGAGCTGAGATAAAAGAGATAGAAGATGAGGGAAATATCAATATGTGAAGGCAGGCAAAGGCAATCTATGCTTACACAGTGGAAGATGATAAAGTCCAGAGGACACCTGAGACACAGTAGCAAAGGGGTGCAGCTTCCATGAATCCATGAGACTTTGAGATATGAAGGAGACATATCTAAGTGGTCAAGAAGGTGTGACTGGATTTGCCAAGTGAAGTTAGATTATGGCCTTTGCCTTCAAAAGCACTAAGTCTTTGGAAGCCTTTGACATGATCACATTGATGTCTCAAGGAAAAAAAAAAAAAGGAAAGTTCAGCAGATTGAACTGAAGAGACATGGCACCAAGGAGGCTCTTCATTAGTCCATTCATCAAACAAGTGTTTAGCATATTTTAGTTGTTGTTAAATGCTGTGAGGAAAAAGGAAACTGGATAACCTTTATACAGAATAATGGGTTCTTCTTCTTCAGGGGGAGTTAGAGATGTTCTCGCTGATGAGGTGGCATTAGAACAGAGTCCAGAACAAACCATCTGGATATCTGAGAGAAGAGAGTGCGCAAAGGCCCTGAGGCAGGAGCGTCCTTAGCACTTTCACTTGACAGTGAGAAGGCTGTAGAGATTAGAGTGAAATGGGTGAGAAAAGAGTGGGAGGGAGGAAGCCATAGAGGTTCAGCCTTGTTAGGCTTCAGGGTAAGGATCTAGGGTTTAGGCTTTGAGCCAAGCAGCAACATGACCTGATATTATGTAATAACCAGGCATATGGAAATAAGAAACTGGATGAGGAGGATGGCACTGATAAGAAAAAGCAGGAAAGGCAAAGAGAGGCATTTGAAAGGAAGAATCAAAAGATCCTGGTGATGGCTGAGGAATGACAGAGTCAGAAATCAAACATAAATGAGGATTGAAATCTTGATGAGTATTTTGCCTAGCAGGTTCTACTTCTTAGTATATTGTAAGAAAATAAAAAAGATATATGTGCAAGAATATTTATTTTGACATTGTTTGCACTGAGCATGAAGTTGGGAACAAACTACACATCCCTCAGCAGATAAACTATATTATGGTACTCCCACACAATTGAATCCTGCACAGCCATTGCAAACATCTCTAAATGAATGCACTGTCATAGAAGAAGTCCATAATAGAGTGTTTATTGCAAAAGAAATTTATAAAAGAGTTGGGAATAGTACCTTGTTTTTATTTTGAAAAGCATACACACAGGAAAACTATAGTTTTTTTGCACTTGAAAAAAAAATTTTTAAATAAAATATGTCTGATAAATGGGTAGAGAGACCATAGAAAGAGAGAAATATATATATATATCTCCTTAGAGACTTACAGCAGTATGCTATAGGTAAGTGAACATGACATCCACTACCATAACAGTAAACAGTGCTTGTCACAAGTACAGTGGTGAGGTGGGCATCATTTGCCTTTGTTGTTGTTGTTATATGCCGTCGAGTCAGCTAACCAGAAGGCTAGCAGTTCAAACTCACCAACCACTCCTCGGAAGGAAGGTTGGGCAATCCTACTTCTGTAGTGATACCACCTCGGAAACCCAAGGAGGGGTCGCTATGAGTTGGGGCCGACTCGACGGCATATGACAACAACACCTCTATATATATATATATAATCAGGGAAGATAAAAGGATGAAAAATCATTTTTTGACATTTTGAATTTAAAGTAACCAAAAGAGAGACATCCAAACAGAAGTATCTATCTAGTGAGCACTTACAGGGTTAGAATTGAAGAGCTGATTAAATAAATAAAACCACACTGGGAGGTATTCTCCTTAAAAGCAAGCATGGTTATGGTTGTAACATGGTTGAACTTTCTGAAATAGAGTGAATGTGAAATATGTTAAAGATGAAATTGTTGGGGCATGTTCAGAGGTTGAAAATGAAAGACCAACCCATCAGCAGGGGAGCAAATGGCAGGAGGATCAGAAGCAGTACAAACGGTGTCTCAGAGGACCAGGAAGGAGCAAGTTATCTGATGGAGAAGTACTCAATGGCATAGAACCAGGTGGAAATGGAAGAATGAAGAGAAGGCAGAGAAGGAGGTAAGAAAGGGGATGGAAAGACAGAAGGAAGAAAGAGATAAAGAATTAATAATAGCACCACTGTTGGATTTCAAGGCAGACATTTTAGCCAACTACAGTGGGGAAAATTTTGGAAAAAGGACTGAAGGAGGGGATGGTTAATGAGGAAATGAAGACTGTGAGTATAGATGTAGTTCTCAGCTTTGCCCTTACATTTTAATCACCTGGAGCACTTTTAATCACTGAACAGACCATCTGAACTAGATCTGGGGCTAGGGTTTTTATAAAAGTCCCAGGTAATTCTGTGTGCAACTGGGGTTGGGAATTCATGTACAGATAAAGGAAATGGCAGCCAGTAGAAAAGATAACATGGGAAAAAGGCAAACAGGATGGGGGCAGCAAGTAGTTTTGATGGGTTTCCGAATATGGAAGGCCATTTTGAAGACAGAACAGGGGAACTAGCTAGTAGACAGGGAGGCACTGAAGATGAGGGTCTGAGGAAAGCTGACAAAGGTAACTTCTGACCTTTGATCTACAGGTTGCAAATACCTTAGGTTAAAAAATTCTTTCTCATAAATGGCTGGATCTATAAAATTGTTTAAAATGAAGAACTTGTAAAGATTAGGGTTGAATATTATTACTATAGTAATTTTAGGGCTAATGTAAATGTTGATATTAAAAGAAATCAAGTGCTTCACAAATTTATATATTTTTACATTCTCAAGTATTTAAGTGGTTATACTACTATATTTAAGGAGCTCTGGTAGCGTAGTGCCTAAGGCATTTGACTGCTAACCAGAAGGCTGGCAGTTCAAACCCACCAGCCACTCCTCAGAAGGAATGTTGGGCAATCTACTTCCTGTAGAGATACCACCTCGGAAACCCAAGGAAGGGTTGCTATGAGTCGGGTCCGACTGGACAGCACATAACAACAACAACAATACTATATTTAATTAACATAGAGGAAGTTTGAAACCCAGAATAAGAACATTACTCATGATTATACTTTGGTTGGATGAGAAGAAATAATTCATTCATTAGAATTTCTTAAATTTGTTTTTGGTTTTAGTACACATTAAATAGTTTTACCTTCATCTGTGAATGTGCTGATCCCATGAGGGTTAAATGAAGTCAAATCAAAGTTACTTCCAGTGATCTTCAAGTCCAACGCTGCTGGGTCTTCCTCATTCAGGTCCATCAGAAGGATTTTTCCTGGTTTGTTGAGTTCAAAGCTCTTTATTCCAGGATATTTCAATCCCTTATGGAAAACAGAAAAGAGTAAACAGCACATACAAATATTTCAAATCATGCCAGATGGTATATAAATTCACCTTATCTGCTCCAGGCCAGGGGACTGGCCACAAGACCATACAGGAAGGCTTTTGGCTGGCTTGCATAATAGGCCAATGTGGGGTTCTGACAGATACATTCCCGGGCCAACCCCATACAACACATAGGCTTCCAACATCCCCAGAAAAGCCACACATGTACCAAACCACAACATCCCGGCCATAAAGAAAATAAAAAATGGAAAAACAGACCAAAGCAGCCGTTACTGGTGGTCTGCAATAATATAATCAAGGAATACTAGCATAACTCATACTAGTGCACTTTGCAGACACTGAGTTCTTTGCAAACTGAAGGCTTGTGGCAACCTTGTGTCAATCAAGTCTATTGATGCCCTTTTTCCAATGGCATGTGTTCACTTCATGTCTCTGTGTCACATTTTGGTATTCTTATGATATTTCAAACTTTTTAATAATGCTATTATTGGACACTTAATAGATTACATTGTAGTGTAAACATAATTTTATATGTACTGGGAAAACAAAAATTCATGTGACTTGCTTTATTGTGATATTTGCTTTATTGTGGTGGTCTGGAATGGAACCCACAATACCTCCAAGGAATGCTGGTACAGAAAGAGCATTGGTTATGGTTTCTAAACTGTTCCCAGGCAGGTACCTTGGTCATTAGTACCCTAGAAGGAAGATAGAGGTTTAAGGAAAGTCCAACAAACTGGGTAACTCCCCCTTTCTTAGCTTTCAGCCAGAACAACAAATCTGTTATTTGTTTTATATATTAGGGTTCCAGGTAACATTTCGCTTGAAATATGTATTATGTTACTTAAAAAAAAAAAAAAAAGAAAAAGAAAAAAGGCTTACAAGTTACTGCTTTAAAGGATGACTAATTCTCTATTTTCTTAAGAGAAAATTGGACTAAACAAATTACAACAGCAGCAAAGGCTTTAAATGGCTGGGTGACTTGTATATTGTATCCTGTCAACTCTGTTTGCTATGTTATAAATCCCTACACCAGATTGTTGGCTTATTTTGTTTTGAGCTGTTACACTCATCTTAGTTCAATAAACATGGTGGGTTCTCTCTTCAATGTTTAAAAATCATGGGAAGACCTATTGAAAATTTTAGATTAAAGGGCTTATTCTGAAAAGTATAGAGAAAAAAAAAAAGGAAAAATCTAAGTGTTGTGTGGTTACAGGACATAAACAAACATACTCGTTGAGCAAATATTTATTGAGTATACTAGTTAAGTGCTTTAAGGAATAAACAGTTAAGAGAAGTGACTTTTAATAAATTGCTACAATAGGAAGATAATATAAGAGCTTAGTGTACACACAGGAATACACATATATAGAGAACACGCACAATCACAATTATTACACTAGTGGACAATGCATGTACAGTTTGTTCTTGAACCATGTGACTCTGCTCATTCTACTCTAAAGTAAGTGTCTGTACTAAAAGTCCCTGGGTGGTACACATGGTTTATGCTCAGCTACTAACCTGAAGGTTGATGGTTCGAACCCACCTACTGACACCACTGAAGGAAGGCCTGGTGATCTGCTTCCATAAAGATTACAGCCAAGAAACCCCAGGGAGCAGCTCAACTCAGTCACACATGAGGTTGCCAAGAGTCAGAATCAACTCGACAGCAACAGATTTTAAAGGAAAGCCTTAAGTTGTTGGTCCTATGAAAAGTTCTAGGCCACAATAAGTGAGATAAAACACTCACGGAGCTAATGAAAGTCAGTCCATTAGGAAGTATCTCCAAGTCTTCAGAACCAGTGTCTGCCAGGAAAGAGAACAGATGAAACAGATTGTTTCAGACTACATTTGCAGAAAGCATCAGTGGTCCATTTCTTCATCACTCCTGACTTGACATGGAGTGACGTATTTAGCTCATCGTTGATACATTCAGAATAATTCATTCTTTCAATTTTTTAATTCAAATCGATTAATGTAATTACACGAAAAGTAAAAGTTATTAGTGTAATTAAAGTTATACTTAATAAACTTGATTTACATTGACAAATTAGAACTTTTTTCCTCAGAGTTTTAAATCTCATATAAAGCTCAGGGAAATTCATACAATACACAAAAAGTATAATTATTTGAAGAGATGGCTATTTTTTTTTTTTAAGATACAGAGTGAACTATAAATATATTTTGATACTTAATAGCTCCAAATCACAGGAGTCCTGGTGGCTCAGTGGTAGACGTTAGCTGCTAACCCAAAGATTGGCAGTTTGAACCCACCAGCTGCTCTTTGGGAGAGAGATGTGGCAGTCTGCTTCCATAAATATTTACAGCACTGGAAACCCTATAAGGCAGATACACTCTTCTACAGGGTCACTATGAGTAGGAATCAACTTGAAGGCAGTGAGTTTGGGGTTTAATTCCAAATCAGTACAAAATTATGTGGGAAATACAAGCAAATGCCAAATGCTTGAGTTAAAAAAGGGTCACATTTCATATTAACAATAATATAAATTTACTATTAATTAATATCACTATCTTTCACTTACTTATACTGTAAGTATATATAAATTTTTAAAATTTCAAATAATCTATAGACAAATGACATGTGTGATTTTGTATATGGCATAGTGCCTAAGGCACTTGACTGCTAACCAGAAGGCTGACGGTTCAAACCCACCAGCCACTCCTCAGAAGGAAGGTTGGGCAATCTACTGTAGTGATACCGCCTCAGAAACCCACGGAGGGGTCACTATGAGTCAGGTCTGACTCGATGGCACATAAAAACAACAACATACACACACACACATGTACGCACGCACACACACACACAAATATGAACATTATGTTTACAAAACTGACCAAACAAAAAGAAAAATAAACAAAAAATTGTCAACACTTTGGCAATAAGTTGGTGAATTCAATATGAAATGTTTTCATTTTTAGAGTTAACTACTTGAGTTAATGTGGTGCCTAGGTGGTATGAATGGTTAAGATGCTTGCCATTAACCAAAAAGTTGGAGGTTCAAGTCCCCTCAGAGACACTTCCAAAGAAATGCCTAGTGATTTAATTCTGAAAGATCAGTCACTGAAATTGTCTGGCATTGTTCTGCCCTGACATATGTTGGTTGCCATGAGTCAGAGTCAACTCAGCTGCAACTGGTTACTGAGTTAGTAATACTCTCCTAGTTCAGTGTTTAGAACAAAATTAAGCAGGTATACTGGTCAGTGAGGGAGCTCTGGTGGCGTAGTGCCTAAGGTACTTGACTGCTAACCAGAAGGCTGGCGGTTCAAACCCACCAGCCACTCCTCAGAAGGAAGGTTGGGCAATCTACTTCCATAGTGATATTGCCTCGGAAACCCACGGAGGGGTCGCTTTGAGTTGGGTCCAAATCAACGGCACATAACAACAACTGGTCAATGAAGGAGCTCTGGTAGTGTAGTGGTTAAAGCATTTGGCTGCTAACCAAAAGGTCAATGGTTTTAAACCACCATCTGTTCTGTGGAAGAAAAATGAGGCAGTCTGTTTCCATAAAGATTTATAGTCTTGGAAACCCTATGGGGGGAATTCTACTCTGTCCTATAGAATTGCTATGAGTTAGAATTGACTCTATGGCAGTGGATTTAGTTTAGTTTAGTTTTGTTTTTTTTTTTTTTCCTTTATTTTTGGTATTGATCAACTAAATGGCAAGAAAATACCACAAATACAAATGAGACACTCCTCTCACACACATACCTATTCCTTTAACTAAATGACAGTTCAGAAGTTCCACTGGTATCACTTCTCGAGCAGCATTAAGTCGTGTTCTAGAGGGGAGAGAGGAATAACACTATGCAGGAAATATAATTAAGTGTAAAAGATCAGCAGCCTATAAAGTTCTTTACTTTGTCTAGGTTTCAACCCCAGATTTCCTCAAACCTAGACAAATCTATCAAACAAACCCAGAGCAAGATACGTGGGATTTTCTGAGTGCAAAATTTAGTATTAATATGGTGGGAATGCATGGATACACCCAAGAGGTACATAGTATCCTCTCCTCTGTACACTTTGGCAGGAACAGGAACAATTTGTGTAAGCAGTCCTATGTGGAAACTAGGGCTTTGAACCAGTTCATTCTGGTTCAACCCTCTGGTGAGAATTTGCATTATCTACATTTTAACAAGATCCCCAGGTGATTCTTATAGATTTTCAGGTGATTTTTATGTACACACATACATCTCATATGTATACATATGATACTTATGTATATACACACATTCCTTATGTTGATATGTAAATTCTGATTCAGTATATCTGGGGGGAGTATGCAAATTATCAGGAGAGGGTTGAACCAGAATGAACAAATTTGAAGCCCTGGGAAATTTGGATTAAGTTGCTACATGGGTCCAATTTATTCCAGTGTTGTTTTGGGGCTACTTGTAGATGACCTCGTGCTATCTGGCCAGTCTGGGTCCCCAGCCTGGACTCGAGGACTATATTTGAATAATGCAGGTGTGCTCAATGGGTTGATAACTTCAGACAATCATACCCAAAGCTAGAATATAAAAAACATTTCACAAACATGCATACAATGCAACTTATTAAATCTGAGCATATAAACATCATGGTGAACATTTGAGTGACAGACAAAAAAAAAAAAAAAACAGATGTAAGAAGTAACTAGCAGGCCACCTAACCAGAGCAAAGTTACTGATAAAAGATATCACAAAGTTAGCACAGTCAAGAGATTTAAACAAAAGCATGCATTGAGAACTAATGACATAATGTAGTTACAGTGATTAGTGACAATTATCCAAGAATCCCTAGAAATATTATTTAGTTTAAAATAGGTATGTGAATTCTAATATATGAAAAAAGGGAAGACCCTCAACAAACGGATTGACACAGTGGCTGCAACAATGGGCTCAAGTATAGTATGGATTGTGAGGCTGGTGCAGGACTGCACAGTGTTTCATTCTGTTGTACATGGCGCCACTGTAAGTTGGGGCTGACTTGATGGCACCTAACTACAACAACATAAATTCTTAGCTTGCCTAACTGATCACTTAAATCTCACAGAAGGAGGGTGGGACAGAGGTGAACTAATATTCTGGAAAAATTCTTACCAACATGTAGGAAGTAATAGGAATTTGGAGGCAATTTGGTTTTTCATTCTTTCATTCATTCAGAAAAAATACAGTGCGTTCCCATTATGTATCATGCCATGGCTATCAACGCCACACTCTAAGAGTGTCTGACCTAACATGTTAGGAAGGGGGTCCAATAATCCACTTTGGAAAAACACCACGGTTCTTCCTGAGGCACAGAGTGGCCAACATCAGTCTCGGTGCTTGGTTGTTGTTGTTGTTGTTATGTGCCGTCGAGTCAGCCCCGACTCATTAGCGACCCCTCCTTGGGTTTCTGAAGCAGTATCACTACGGAAGTAGATTGCCCAACTTTTCTTCCAAGGAGTGGCTGGTGGGTTTGAACCGCCAGCCTTCTGGTTAGCAGTCAAGTGCCTTGTTGTTGTTGTTAAGTGCCTTCGA